TGTGTCCTGATCATGACCACACAAGGTTCCAAATAACAACATGTGGGTGATATGGATGTTGAGCCACCAAAGATGGCAGAGCTACATGTAGTTTAACTCATTCACCCCTGAAGACACATTTGAACTCTTCAAATTCAAAGGTTGGAATAGTTCATTATGAAACTTCAGGGGTGAATGAGTTAAAGCTGACAGGACCCCTCTTGTCACATTTAGTTGTGTGTACATGTGTTATGACAGTACGTAGCGTGTGATAATAAACATGGCCTGATACATCATTCATCACACTGTAAAGCTTCTGAAATCTCGCTTACTGAAGCTCTCATTAAAATTCTTATAAGGGTTGGGTTAAAAGGCAGGTTAGACCTTTTACATGTAGTTGCTCCAATTTATAATTAAAAGAAGATTGTTTGTAATGTACAGACATTAGATTTAATATTTATGATTTAAATAACATCTGTAATGTATAATATACTGTTAAATGAGTGGGCTAGTTTTAATATACTGTTAAATGAGTGGGCTAGTTTTAATATACTGTTAACTGAGTGGGCTAGTTTTAATATACTGTTAAATGAGTTGGCTAGTTTTAATATACTGTTAAATGAGTGGGCTAGTTTTAATATACTGTTAAATGAGTGTGCTAGTTTTAATATACTGTTAAATGAGTGGGCTAGCTTTAATATACTGTTAAATGAGTGGGCTAATTTCAATGTACTGTTAAATGAGTGGGCTAGCTTTAATATACTGTTAAATAAGTGGGCTAATTTTAATATACTGTTAAATGAGTGGGCTAGTTTTAATATACTGTTAAATGAGTGTGCTAGTTTTAATATACTGTTAAATGAGTGGGCTAGCTTTAATATACTGTTAAATAAGTGGGCTGATTTTAATGTACTGTTAAATGAGTGGGCTAGCTTTAATATACTGTTAAATGAGTGGGCTAATTTTAATGTATAGTTAAATGAGTGGGCTAGCTTTAATATACTGTTAAATGAGTGGGCTAGTTTTAATATACTGTTAAATGAGTGGGCTAGCTTTAATATACTGGTAAATGAGTGGGCTAGTTTTAATGTACTGTTAAATGAGTTGGCTAATTTTAATGTACTGTTAAATGAGTGGGCTAGCTTTAATATACTGTTAAATGAGTTGGCTAATTTTAATGTACTGTTAATAACAATAAGTGGGCTAATTTTAATGTACTGTTAAATGAGTGGGCTAATTTTAATGTACTGTTAAATGAGTGGGCTAGCTTTAATATACTGTTAAATGAGTTGGCTAATTTTAATGTACTGTTAAATGTACAGGCTATTTTAGAGTGTTTACTATCAGAGTACTGAGGTGATTGTCAAGGCAGACTGGAACATTTTATTGGTCAGTATTTACAATGCCAGACAGAATAAACTCTCCTCGTATCTACATCCTAGTTTACATGTGTTGTAACAGTGAATGTCTCCAAATTGGGACCTTGTAGTCATGTGTAGTTAGGAGTTGGGATTTTGTCTCGAAAAATCAATGGACCCTGACTGAAATCCTTGCCAAGTAAGTAAGTCTAAGACATGAAAGTAATTGTCACGTACAGAGATTCTAGCTGTGGTACCAGAATGCAGTTTTCCTTAGAGTTTTGCAGCAGCACATATATGTGCCTTTATTTTTTCTGCCGTGGCTGCTCTCCGAAATCCTTACTCCTAGTGGAGTCAAACTTCTTTATATATCGTTGTTACCACTTTAATGGTCACTGCATGGGGTCAAATGTTTTAGAACAAACTCATGATCATGACCAGTTTACATGTACATGTGTCGAGCATCACGTCCTGATCAATGTTATATAGATATGTTAGCCATGATCGGACTGAATTTGTATATGTACATTACATCACACTTCTAAACTGGATCAAATTGCATACACCCTGACTGACCTGCTGATCAATTCAACATTAAGTACACAAGAGGGATAGGACAAATAAATTGGGTGTAAATGTTCATCATTTGATGGATGTCGAGTTAGTTCATTTTAAGTTTACTGCCTACTTCAGATGGTAATCACTTGGTGTTTTTTTTATCATATGATAGTTCATTTTAAGTTTACTGCCTACTTCAGATGGTAATCACTTGGTGTTTTTTTTATCATATGATAGGTAAAAGTCTGTCAAACCTAGTGAATCATCAGCTGGCTAGGTTCATGTATATTTCTGTTTTAAATGCCATGATCGATACTACAACACTTATCCTACTCCGTGATTGGTAATTTGTTGAACAACAGCTATTTTGGGATCAGAATAATTTGTCGGTACATAAATAAATTTTTATCGGCTGTAGATAATTTAAAATTAAAATCTGAGCTTTAGACTTAAATTGAATTTGTACTGAAATGGTTTAAATTAATGCAAACCGTATAACTAGGAGTGCATATTTGGACCTGCAGAAAGTAAACAAATATCGCCTACATTTTGGACAGTTAATAGGTATACCGCGGGTTCAAGGCCTTGAGGTGGAGACCGTCGCCAGGTACTGGCTGCAGGTCAGTGGTTTTTCTCGGGGCATTCTGCTTTTCTTCCACCACCGAAACCAAGTACATCCTTAATGATCATAGGTGTTCATAGAACATAATACACAACCAAATCTGATACTGCAAACACAATAATGTAGTATTGTAACCCTTTCGCCACTGTAGACTACAATGGATTCATCCAGATCAATGCATAGTAAAGTTTACATTAGTTACATAGGGGTGAAAGGGTTAATACTCCAACTTGATACTTGGTAAGTGTTTTAAACTTGATATTGAATGCACTAACATTTGACAATGTCACTGATTAAAGTAATATACATTAAGCTTGATCACCAGTGGCATCAAAAGTGCCTGTGAGCTTATAGTATGGCACTGTAGCATCAGTGGTCAACGTTTCCTTTGAACATCTTATTTCTAAGAAATGAAAGACATAAACTTTGTCTTTGGCCATTGGCTCTCTGGGATGAAGTGCTACAATTTCCTCATATTAATTACCATAGCCTTCTTTAACTCATTCACCCCTGAAGACACATTTGAACCGTTCCAATTCAAAGGTTGGAATAGTTCACTATGGAACTTCAGGGGTCAATGAGTTAAAGGATACAAGAGTCCAATTAATATGTTAAAAACTTCAAATTACACTGTCTTAATAACCATGATTGCTTACTGCAGTTCATTTTGTTAGCTGATATGAATTGTGTACCCATCCGTAAATTATAATAACCGCTGACAACAGTTTTAAAATGGAGCATCAAGGAAGCTGGTACACTTGGTATTTTGTTTGAATAAAGGTGTAGGAGTCCCACGAAATAGACCAAACAGTTAGACATGCCTGGTCATGTTATTTAGGAGACTTTCAGACACAGCATTTTTAGTGTGTAAGTACAGAGGCATCTTCAACAAGGCTACTGCCACTATTTTGACTTTTCTGGACATAAAAGGTTGTGACCTAACCATGGTCCCAACAAAACTGGTTCAATGTTTCTTTGAGGAGCTTGATTTTATGATTTGAAATTTTGTTTTTCCCTCAACTTTCTGATGCATGGTTCGTTGTTATCATTGATTCAAGTAATCACCCATCCTCTTCTTTCGTTTTATTGTGTGTACTAATAATCGTTAGGGCTTTCATTAGAACCATTACTGTATTATGATATTGACAGTAGTTTGATTGTCTGTATATATAGGAACATTGTTGTCGGTGACAGTCGAAAATTCACAAGCCTAGGGGAAATCTTTAATTATGGCAAGTGAAATTCTCATCCTGAAGTAAAAAAGTAGTTGTGTTAGTTAGGTATGGTATGGCTCACGGTGTATCGATCAGACTTGACATATAGTTACCATCTCTATTCTCCCAGCCTGTGCAGCCATTGATTGGCGAGCTCCTACAAAATTACGCAACGTTTCAGGTCTCCTGTCATAGGGACATTTAGTCCTTTGGAAAACGACAAACGACTAATCAGTTTGTTCCTACATACACCTCTCCTGTTTATGGAAATGTAACTGTGCTACGCTTTGTTATAGAATCTGTAGGAATAAATCAATAAATGTGCTGAACTACAGGCCAGGAATATTGGTATATTAAAGTCACCATTTATTGGTTGTAATTACAGTAAGTTGTTGCTCAAGATCTAGACTATGGATGGAGTTATTGATGTTTCTAACACCACTGCTGCAATATATCATGTACGTTAAAAATATAAATAATACATTGAATAAACATGTAGTAGTTTAAACAAAAAGGTGTACATTGATTTACACCCCACATATAATTTAAAGTCCTTTGAAGTCCAAAGTCCAGCAAGGCTCTAAAGTAAAGAGAGAAAAAATGTGGTCAGAAATACAATGAAAAGACAAATATTCATTACATTACAATATCTCAAGCAAGAAATCTCTGTCAGAGATTACAAATTAGACTTAAAGTATGAGAAGTAAGCCACATCTTCTATATATGTACATATCTCAACAAATCGGATGAAAAACATTCTAAATAGCATGTCAGATAAAAATTTACCTACAGGGTACCTGGTAAAATATTCTATTTTAAAGAACTGAAATATAAACTTAAAATACAGAAGTGAACTGTGCAGTACAACTGTTCACTCAGGTGATTATGAAATTAGTTTGTTGACTGTGTAGGTCAGTCAGGTTGATATGAGGTAATTCTTGATTTTATCTTAAGCCAGTGAACAATTATCATGACCATATAGATTGTCAAGTAAGCAACATCTAAGTACTTATTACAACTCCTCTATCTGGTTTACGTTTATAGAGTACAGCGTTTGAACTAAGTATAGAAACAGTTCAAACGTAGTCGATTGTCTCATGTTTCTGTTCTACGTTTAATGGGACTTTATTCTTATGTTTTATTCCTTATTTATTTTCTAGGACAGGATTTAGACACTATTACACAAATATTAATTTTACCTTCAGACTTGGTTTTGTACCGTATGATATTTTAGTGAGTTTTTTTTACTTTCACAATGTTTTGTTGCAGGTACCAGAGTTGTTTAGTAGTATACAGGAGGCTACACGACGGGACATCACAATAGATATGGTGGAGACGAAAGCCCCCGAGCCGGCCAAGGCCTTCTATGAGGTGATGTATGTGGGTCGTGCCAAACTCAACACCAAGAAGATAACCTGTGTCCACATCGATGAACTGTGTCACAAACTGTCAGAGAAGGAGAAAGAGCGGAAACAGAGACAGGAGGAACAGAATGAACGGCGTCAACGCCATGCGAGCGGTGCTAGTGTAAAAAGTCTGCCGGCTAGTCTGGACGAAGTTGTGTCAGTAACAGAGAATGAACTTGGAGCTCAGAACGAGCGTCTACGAGGCAGCACCATCCACATCAACAGTCCATCTAGTAGTGCTGATGACCTGTCTGGATGTAGTGATGGTATAAGCTCTTCAGAAAATGTTCTAGAAAATTCTGGACACTTTTCACATTCATACTCAGCAGAAGGTCTCTCTGGGTCTGGTGATTCACGAGAGGAGATTTGTGATTTGGTTACTAGGGACCATCTCAGCCATAGTAACAGTGCTGACCTTGATCAAGGTCAGAAAGAACTCCATGTCCATTTTAGTGATTCCCATCACTGTGAGTCGTCCAAGGACAATCCTAACAAAACCATGCTCTTTTGTCTTGGAGCCAGTGATATTTCCCTCATTAGTCTGGACAAAAAGTCCACCATCCTTGACCGACGGTTCAAAGATATCTCCTCAGTATCACAGGTACATATAAGATGCAATTCAGTCCCGTTGAAATTCAATTTCCATAAAAAAATTATCAAATTTGGTTCAACTATTAAATGTTTTTCATAATACATTTTGTTCAAGTGTATTTTTGGAGACTGAAATTTGAACTTTTTGTCAAATCTGAGGTTTTTTTTAAGTGTATCAGCATTATCATTAAAGCAATATTGGAAAGGAAGAAAAAATGACACTGATATTTTAAGAAGGCTGGCATTTCACAAAAGTGTAATGATCTTTAATTTTATATTATTATATATTGTTTTATTTAGGGCAAAGAAAGACCAGAGGTGTTTGGATTCATAGTCAGAGAAAAAGGAAACACGTTCATCTGTTATATACTGAAGTGTCATTCCTGCTCCGTGGTAAGTAAGAAATGAAAACGACACGCTCATCTGTTATATACTGAAGTGTCATTCCTGCTCCGTGGTAAGTAAGAAATGAAAACGACACGTTCATCTGTTATATACTGGTGTGTCATTCCTGCTCCGTGGTAAGTAAGAAATGAAAACGACACGTTCATCTGTTATATACTGGTGTGTCATTCCTGCTCCGTGGTAAGTAAGAAATGAAAACGACACATTCATCTGTTATATACTGGTGTGTCATTCCTGCTCCGTGGTAAGTAAGAAAGGAAAACGACACCTGTTATATACTGAAGTGTCATTCCTGCTCTGTGGTAAGTAAGAAATGAAAACGACATACGTTCATCTGTTATATACTGAAGTGTAATTCCTGCTCCGTGGTAAGTAAGAAATGAAAACGACACACGTTCATCTGTTATATCCTGAAGTGTCATTCCTGCTCCGTGGTAAGTAAGAAATAAAAACGACACGTTCATCTGTTATATACTGAAGTGCCATTCCTGCTCCGTGGTAAGTAAGAAATGAAAACGACAGGTTCATCTGTTATATACTGGTGTGTCATTCCTGCTCCGTGGTAAGTAAGAAAGGAAAACGACACACGTTCATCTGTTATATACTGAAGTGTAATTCCTGCTCCGTGGTAAGTAAGAAATGAAAACGACCCGTTCATCTGTTATATACTGAAGTGTCATTCCTACTCTGTGGTAAGTAAGAACTGAAAACGACACACGTTCATCTGTTATATACTGAAGTGTAATTCCTGCTCCGTGGTAAGTAAGAAATGAAAACGACACATTCATCTGTTATATACTGGTGTGTCATTCCTGCTCCGTGGTAAGTAAGAAAGGAAAACGACACGATCATCTGTTATATACTGAAGTGTCATTCCTGCTCCGTGGTAAGTAAGAAATGAAAACGACACGCGTTCATCTGTTATATACTGAAGTGTCATTCCTACGCTGTGGTAAGTAAGAAATGAAAACGACACACGTTCATCTGTTATATCCTGAAGTGTCATTCCTGCTCCGTGGTAAGTAAGAAATAAAAACGAAAGACGTTCATCTGTTATATACTTAAGTGTCATTCCTACTCTGTGGTAAGTAAGAAATGAAAACGACACACGTTCATCTGTTATATCCTGAAGTGTCATTCCTGCTCCGTGGTAAGTAAGAAAGGAAAACGACACACGTTCATCTGTTATATACTGAAGTGTAATTCCTGCTCCGTGGTAAGTAAGAAATGAAAACGACACACGTCCATCTGTTATATACTGAAGTGTCATTCCTGCTCCGTGGTAAGTAAGAAAGGAAAACGACACGTTCATCTGTTATATACTGAAGTGCCATTCCTGCTCCGTGGTAAGTAAGAAATGAAAACGACACACGTTCATCTGTTATATCCTGAAGTGTCATTCCTGCTCCGTGGTAAGTAAGAAATGAAAACGAAACACGTTCATCTGTTATAATTATACTGAAGTGTCATTCTTGCTGCGTGGTAAGTAAGAAATAAAAACGAAAGACGTTCATCTGTTATATACTGAAGTGTCATTCCTACTCTGTGGTAAGTAAGAAATGAAAACGACACACGTTCATCTGTTATATACTGAAGTGTCATTCCTGCTCCGTGGTAAGTAAGAAATGAAAACGACACATGTTCATCTGTTATATACTGAAGCGTCATTCCTGCTCCGTGGTAAGTAAGAAATGAAAACGAAACACGTTCATCTGTTATAATTATACTGAATTGTCATTCTTGCTGCGTGGTAAGTAAGAAATAAAAACGAAAGACGTTCATCTGTTATATACTGAAGAGTCATTCCTGCTCCGTGGTAAGTAAGAAAAGAAAACGACACACGTTCATCTGATATATACTAAAGTGTCATTCCTGCTCCGTGGTAAGTAAGAAAGGAAAACGACACACGTTCATCTGATATATACTAAAGTGTCATTCCTGCTCCGTGGTAAGTAAGAAAGGAAAACGAAACACGTTCATCTGTTATATACTGAAGTGTCATTCCTGCTCCGTGGTAAGTAAGAAAGGAAAACGACACACGTTCATCTGATATATACTGAAGTGTCATTCCTGCTCTGTGGTAAGTAAGAAAGGAAAACGACACATGTTCGTCTGTTGTATATACTGAAATGTTATGCCTGCTTCATTAAGTCATGACCAGAAGAGAAAGTGACACAGTTATAATATGTGTAGTATAATTGCTACAATAGTATTCCTGCTTAGTGGTAAATCAGAAAGGAAGGTGTGTTTTACCATTTGTTCTTTATTAAAACTCCTTAAAATTGAAAGTTTAATTTACATTTATGCCTTAAATATTTTGTGTATTTTTATGCAAAGCTTATTCCAAGGGTTCTGCTCTTGGTAATTAGAGTTCCAATGCTAACACCCTATACCGGCCCTATCCATTACTTATATACAGCTATACACAGACAGAATCTCATCCCGTCCTGTTAACACTAGTAATCGTGTTGGTCACTTTATATCGCTGGATAATTGCTTTCTAATAAAGTAGAGACAGCGAATACTGAACAAATATCTATAATGTTTCCAATTTCCCTGATTTCTGAATAACGAAATATGATACCTGTTATAGGCGGAGTACATGTTAACGTATTGAGTGGAGGTTCTGGTCCCGATACACTAAGCTACAAATATAACACATACTAATTATTGTAGGCCTAGGACAGTAGTGTACAGTATTGAGTGGAGGTTCTGGTCCTGATACACTAAGCTACAAATATAACACATACTAATTAACGTAGGCCTAGGACAGTAGTGTACAGTATTGAGTGGAGGTTCTGGTCCCGATACACTAGGCTACAAATATAACACCTACTAATTAATGTAGGGCTAGGACAGTAGTGTACAGTATTGAGTGGAGGTTCTGGTCCTGATACACTAGGCTACAAATATAACACCTACTAATTAATGTAGGGCTAGGACAGTAGTGTACAGTATTGAGTGGAGGTTCTGGTCCTGATACACTAGGCTACAAATATAACACCTACTAATTAATGTAGGGCTAGGACAGTAGTGTACAGTATTGAGTGGAGGTTCTGGTCCTGATACACTAGGCTACAAATATAACACCTACTAATTAATGTAGGGCTAGGACAGTAGTGTACAGTATTGAGTGGAGGTTCTGGTCCTGATACACTAGGCTACAAATATAACACCTACTAATTAATGTAGGGCTAGGACAGTAGTGTACAGTATTGAGTGGAGGTTCTGGTCCTGATACACTAGGCTACAAATATAACACCTACTAATTAATGTAGGGCTAGGACAGTAGTGTACAGTATTGAGTGGAGGTTCTGGTCCTGATACACTAGGCTACAAATATAACACCTACTAATTAATGTAGGGCTAGGACAGTAGTGTACAGTATTGAGTGGAGGTTCTGGTCCTGATACACTAGGCTACAAATATAACACCTACTAATTAATGTAGGGCTAGGACAGTAGTGTACAGTATTGAGTGGAGGTTCTGGTCCTGATACACTAGGCTACAAATATAACACCTACTAATTAATGTAGGGCTAGGACAGTAGTGTACAGTATTGAGTGGAGGTTCTGGTCCTGATACACTAGGCTACAAATATAACACCTACTAATTAATGTAGGGCTAGGACAGTAGTGTACAGTATTGAGTGGAGGTTCTGGTCCTGATACACTAGGCTACAAATATAACACCTACTAATTAATGTAGGGCTAGGACAGTAGTGTACAGTATTGAGTGGAGGTTCTGGTCCTGATACACTAGGCTACAAATATAACACCTACTAATTAATGTAGGGCTAGGACAGTAGTGTACAGTATTGAGTGGAGGTTCTGGTCCTGATACACTAGGCTACAAATATAACACCTACTAATTAATGTAGGGCTAGGACAGTAGTGTACAGTATTGAGTGGAGGTTCTGGTCCTGATACACTAGGCTACAAATATAACACCTACTAATTAATGTAGGGCTAGGACAGTAGTGTACAGTATTGAGTGGAGGTTCTGGTCCTGATACACTAGGCTACAAATATAACACCTACTAATTAATGTAGGGCTAGGACAGTAGTGTACAGTATTGAGTGGAGGTTCTGGTCCTGATACACTAGGCTACAAATATAACACCTACTAATTAATGTAGGGCTAGGACAGTAGTGTACAGTATTGAGTGGAGGTTCTGGTCCTGATACACTAGGCTACAAATATAACACCTACTAATTAATGTAGGGCTAGGACAGTAGTGTACAGTATTGAGTGGAGGTTCTGGTCCTGATACACTAGGCTACAAATATAACACATACTAATTAATGTAGGGCTAGGACATGTATAGTGTACAGTATTGAGTGGACATGTTCATTGACAAATACACCCCTTAAGTCACATTTGAACCTTACCAAATCAAAGACTTGGCAAGTCTAGTGTAAACATGTAGGGGTAAATGAGTTAGATAGTGGTTTCTGAAATAATATTAAAGATATAAAAAAAAGTTAGCACTGTTATTTCCTGGCAATAAATTCCTTCTTATAAAATTCAAGGTTGTATGGTAAAAAGGACTCATTTTCATCTTGATGTTGAACAAATATAAAAGGCTATAGGTTTTAGTTATACAAGATCATTGATGGTAGGATGTACAAGTAGACTTAGTACATGTATATGATGATTGGTTGTGTTATATTACAAAGTAGATATATCCATGACTGTGTTATATTACAAAGTAGATATATCCTGCTCTGTAATCAGTCAGACTTCAAATGATTAAGTAGAAACATTTCGGTGATTGTCACGTGATATTTTGATAAATGTCACACGATGATTGGATTAATGTTAATATAACTGATGTGAGCTAGGAAATAAGGAAATGTTCAATAAGGATGACTCCTAAGTGATTAGGTTATTAGTTTGGGAAACAAATATTGATGTTACTGATTGCCTCTCTATGGCATACAGTTTCTGTCTCAAAAATGTGTTTACTCAACACCATGTTCAAACTC